TAGATAGTCCAGGTGTATTGTTGTGGTCCAGGTGTATTGTTGTGGCTATCTACAACAATACACCTGGATAGATAGCCACAACAATACATCTAGAAAGTTAATATCTATTAAACTAATAAAACCTGTTCTTAACCCGAAGATAAGCGTACTTCGAACCACTATACCATCAATCGTTAACATATAAAGAAAAGAACAGATCATATAAGACGATCGTTGTATATGAAGTAAGAACTATACGTATACATGGAAAACGATTTTATATGGAGATTTAAGAAAGAAAAGGCCTCGAACATACAGATCTATTCTTTCACTGTTTACACATCTCTCTCCACAGGATTACAGCGCTTCAGAGTGGGTGAAGAAAGGCGCCTCTAAGGAGAAAATGTGTATCGGCATTCCCACATACGGCCGAACTTACATTCTCAAAAACGATTCTTGGACTGACGTCGGCGCCCCCGCAGTCGGTGGTGGTGAACCTGGGAACTACACGGGAGAACCTGGCTTTATGGCCTTTTTTGAGGTGATGAAAATTTCGCATATTCAAGTTTGTTGTCGAAAACAAATTCACGTTTCATCACTTACTCATCCCAACAAAAAAAAAATAACAGTTGATGCACATTTTAAATTTAATCTTATAATCAGAGATAAACGATAGCTCAGTAACTGTAGTCTGCGCGGTTTTCTATTCCAGATGGTCATTATTTAGTGCACGTGCTTGGCAATAAACTGCGCTTGCTCAGTAAATTTAATGAATTAATGAAATGTAATATTAAAGTTTTTTTTTGTTCCCTTCTTGCGCAAAGGTGGACAGTGGGTTATCTGCGCTGTTGCTCCTCGCAGGGATCAAACCCCTAATTATAAAACCTCGGGCTTACGGCCGAGCCGCTGGAGGGATTTATTGAAAATATATAAACTTCATTTTCCCGTTTCCTTCTGAAACTACAGATTAAATGATCCTCTTCTTGCTAGTTTGGTTGTTTTTAGGGCAAAGCCACACTGGGCTGTCTGTTGTGTCCACGGCGGGGAGTCGAACCTGGATTTTAGCGTTGTAAAAACCAATCTTTTACAAAGTACCTAACTTACACTGTGTTACGTTCTGTGTTTACTTTATACAATGAACATTTTCTTGAGAACTGAGATAATAAAATCTGGAAAATATTTTGGTTAGGTGTGCGACTTTCTCAAGTCTGGAGCGACATTGGTTTGGGACGACGAACAGATGGTGCCCTATGCTTATAAAGGAAATCAGTGGGTTGGATTTGACGATATGAGAAGTGTTAGAAGCAAAGTAAGTTAGAGATTATATCACTGGGTTGGATTTGATGACATGAGAAGTGTTAGAACCAAGGTAAGTTAGAGATGATATCACCGGGTTGGATTTGACGACATTAGTGGTGTTAGAACCAAGGTAAGTTAGAGATGATATCACTGGGTTGGATTTGATGACATGAGAAGTGTCAGAACCAAGGTAAGTTAGAGATGATATCAGTGGGTTGGATTTGATGACATGAGAAGTGTCAGAACCAAGGTAAGTTAGAGATGATATCACCGGGTTGGATTTGACGACATTAGTGGTGTTAGAACCAAGGTAAGTTAGAGATGATATCACTGGGTTGGATTTGATGACATGAGAAGTGTCAGAACCAAGGTAAGTTAGAGATGATATCACCGGGTTGGATTTGACGACATTAGTGGTGTTAGAACCAAGGTGAGTTAGAGATGATATCACTGGGTTGGATTTGATGGCATTAGTGGTGTTAGAACCAAGGTAAGTTAGAGATTATATCACTGGGTTGGATTTGACGACATGAGAAGTGCTAGAACCAAGGTAAGTTAGAGATGATATCACTGGGTTGGATTTGACGACATTAAATGTGTTAGAACCAAGGTAAGTTAGAGATGATATCACTGGGTTGGATTTGATGGCATTAGTGGTGTTAGAACCAAGGTAAGTTAGAGATGATATCACTGGGTTGGATTTGATGGCATTAGTGGTGTTAGAACCAAGGTAAGTTAGAGATGATATCACTGGGTTGGATTTGATGACATTAGTGGTGTTAGAACCAAGGTAAGTTAGAGATGATATCACCGGGTTGGATTTGACGACATTAGTGGTGTTAGAACCAAGGTG